AGAATCTTGATGAGAGTTGGTGTAGACACCCATTTGTGTCTTCCCAAAACCAAACCCACTGATGAGTACCTTTCACGTTGAATCATAATCGAATGAAACGAAAGTGTGGAAAGGTCTAGTGTTGTGGAAAGTTTTATTTCTTTTCTTTTCTTTTCTCTTCTCTCTGTTTTTGAAAACTTTATTTTAAGAAAACAGCCAATCCAGTTTGGTTGGTCCATTATATGGGTCCAATAGTGGTGTAGTTGGATGGGGCTTGCAAAGACCTTTCCAACGATATATTATAAGCCCAATTCCGATGAATATTGAGAAATTTATGGCCAATTTACTAAACTGGGCCTGGTTTGAGTTTTAAGTACGGCCCAATGATCTAGGGGAGGGCCTAATATAATTTATCATTCCTAATGTAATTAGGAATGGTTTTGGTCTTCTAGAACATTCTAGAAGGTTTTATCATTCTTAATTCAATTAGGATTCTTTAGAGTTTTAATTAGATCAAATAGCATTTTCGACTGAAATTATATTATTTTATCTTCCAGTACGGGAATTTTATCAGAATTTCAAAAACGCGTTAAAAGCCGGTTTGGCATCCAACCCCAGGCCTTGGCGCCTGGAACCAGGATTGGCGCCAGACGCCAGCCATTGGCGCCTGGCGCTAGCCACTGGTCCTGGCGCCAATGAGCCAGGGCTAGCGCCAAGGTGGTTTTTTGGTCTTCAGACTCTGTTTTGATAAATTATCTTTTTTGGATGTTTTTCTCTATAAATATCGTATCAAAACTCCATTTTCATGGACGAATACACCAACTATCTTCATCATCTACATCTATTAATCAATTCTCTTCATTCATCAAGGCTTTTAATCAATTCTCTTTATTCATTCATCATCTTTCGTTCAACAATTACTTTATGAATCATTGATCTTTTAGCATTCTTTCTTTTTCTAAACTTTGCTCTTTCATACAAAATTCCGCATTCACAAGATCTAGAAACACTTAGCCATATTCGAAGTTGCCTTCGCCCTAGACGTGAAAGGTTTTAATTTCTGAGGGTTTGGTCCCAAATCTCTCTTTCAATTATTTAATTATTTTGATTATTATTTTCCTTGAAGTTACTAACGTGTGTATTTTGTAATTAGAAAGAGGTACGAGGCATCCAAGTAAGTACTTTAATGGTTTAATTGATTTCATGATGTAGATATCATGTTTAGATTGTTATTTCGATTCCTAGTATCATGTCTAGGGTGTTTTTAATATCAAATATGATTGTTATGATGCTTCCTATGTTATTCCTAACATTTATGATTATGATTATGATTGATTGTTGATTATTTATTATGTTGTTTGATATGCATATTATTTTATATTGTTATTGCTTGATCACCTTTTATGTATGTTTGAAGGGAATTGGTATTAGCAATCACGCTTGATAAGATAATTAATAATCTTGTTAGGTTAATGGTGATTATAATTCAAGTGATCGCCAATAATAGATTTATTTGTGCATTAAATTCAACCAACATAGATTAAACAGGTTTAGGTTTAAACCTATTGATTGCATGTTAATCAGAAAGCGCACATGAATACGAGCAGAATAAAGTGGAGGCCTATTATTAGGGCAGGTTCAATCTCTTTTAGGTTGGATTTGTACCATCATCCCCGAACCCTTATTTGGTTCATGACCTTATGGAGTTGACGATCTCTTGGATCGTTAAGGGGTGTAACCTTCACCTCGTGAACGGTTTACAAGTTCCTTAAAAACTTGTTGGTGACTTTTTTGCTCTATCTTCTTCCCTTTTGGACGCCACCGTACTTTAGTGTATGATCACAGTGGGGTTCAAGCTAGTGGGATTTTAAAGGCTTGAAATTATTCCCTACAGTTGGTGAATATTATTATTGAAGAGAATGAGAGAGAATTGAAAACTGGTTGTAGGTGAATCAAAACGGAGTTTTTACGACGTTATTTATAGAGAAAATCAGCCAAAAAGATAAAAATACCAAAACAGAGTTCTGGCGCACAGAAAACAGAACCAGCGCCAACGCTGGCCGTTGGCGCTAGGCGCCAACGTTAGCGCCAGGCGCTACAGCTGGCGTTTGGCGCTGATCAGGAAAATTACGCGTTTTTCTTAAAATCAGATAAAAATTGCCATACAGGAGGATAAAATTGTATTTTCTTCTAAAATGCTCTTTGATTTTAATTAAAACTCTGAAAAGTCAACAAAAGTCAATTTATCAATGTTAATTGAATTAGGAATGAAAAGAACCTTCTAGAAGAATCTAGAAGACTAAAACCATTCCTAATTGCATTAAGAATGATAAAACATATTAGGCCCTCCCCTAGATCATTGGGCCGCATATAAGGCTTAAACCGGGCCCGGTTTAGTAAATTGGCCATAACTTCCTCAATATTCATCGGAATTGGGCTTATAATATATCGTTGGAAAGCTCTGGTCAAGCCCTATCCAACTACACTATTATTGGACCCATATCATGGACCAACCAAACTGGATTGGCTGTTTTCTTAAAATAAGTTTTCAAAAACAGAGAGAAGAGAAAAGAAATTAAAACAATCCGCAACACTAAACTTTCCACACTTTCGCTTCATCCGATTATGATTCGACGTGAAAGGTACTCATAACTGGGTTTGGTTTTGGGGAGACACATTTGGGTGTCTACACATCCCTCCTCCAGCGTCGCTCTATGACGGAAGAACCTGCCCGCTGGATCATGTCAATCATTACAAGCAGCGGATGTGGCAGTACTCCATCCTTCGCAACCTGCTCGAGCCAGTCCTATGCAAATCTTTCGGAGCTACCCTTATAGGGCCCGCACTTGAATGGATGTGCGACATCAAACGTGGTTCTATTGCTAACTTCCAGTCTTTGTGTAACAGGTTCTATAGTAAGTTCAATAACAATTGCAAAATTGAGAAGCAGACCAGCGACCTCTACCGCGTCGTGCAGACAAATGGCGAATCTATCAAGTCTTACTTTAGCAGGTTCAACAAGGAAATGATCGGCATCAAAGGGTACGACGTCCGTACAACCACCGAAGCCTTCAAGAGAGGACTGACGGCCGACTTAGAGCTATACAAAGAGCTGACCAAGTATCCATGCACGACCTTTGAGGAAGTCAGGACTCGCGCCCTAACACAAATGCGGTTGTTGGACGACCTCGCCATTCGAAAAGGCTTCCAGCCCTCGACATTCCCTGGCAATGACAGAGTTACTAGGAGGCCTAATGACAGGAAGAACTGGCGTCGTAGACCTTATGACAATCAGGCCAGGTAAATGCAGTCAATAATGTTAAAACTAACGTTGCTTAAGTTCCTGTCGATAGATCCCAGAAGCAGGATGTCGACGCATACCCCGACATTGCTGAATATGGATTATTCGTCGACCTTGGGGGCGTGGTGAATTCCCTTCATTCTTTAGGAAATGTCGCCCGTTGGCCGAGGACGAGCGACAAGCCAGATGAAAGCAAAGGCAAATCCAAGTGGTGCGACTATCATGGTGATCATGGCCATCGTACCGAAGACTGCAACGCCCTGAGAAAAGAAATAGCTTTCCTCTTGAAGAAAGGTCATCTCAAGGAGCTGCTGGGAAAAGGTAAGTCAAGCAACAAAGAAGCGTTGCCCCAGCAGGAGAAAGACCCTCAGCAGCCGCCAAAAGGACCAACGGTTACTAAGGTAGTCAATGTTATTACTGGTGGTTCTGATATTTGTGGACTAACCTATTCTGCAGCTAGAAATATAGCAAGAACAGGTAACCCCGAAGAAGCCGTCCCCATGGACGCAAGATCGAACCAAGACAAAGCCCTAGAAGCAATGGTCCTCGCCTTCGACGACTGCGGCTTAGGAGATTATCGAGAAGAACATCATGACTCCCTAGTGATATCCTTGACCATCGGCAATTGCCTGCTGAAAAGAGTGCTGGTCGACGGAGGAAGCTCAACCAATGTCCTTTTCAAAAGCACCTTGGAAGACATGGGGATCGACGCCAGGGATGTCGTCAGAAAGTCTACAGTCCTCGTAGGTTTCAGTGGAGAGACTCTCTATACAAGCGGAGAGATCGTGCTGCCAACATTTGCTGGGGGCGTCAACCTTTCAACGCATTTCAACATCGTAGATTGCTCGTCAGCCTACAATGCCATCATCGGTCGCCCTTGGATCCATAGAACGAAAGTCGTCCCGTCAACATACCATCAAGTAATAAAATTCCCAACCAGATGGGGTGTGCAAGTTATCAAGGGAGAAAGGTAGGAAGCCAGAAAGGGCTACAGTTCTACATTAAATCCATCCAAAAGGACGGTATAGCAATTACAGCTAGGACCAGCGTCAGAAGAGCCCGACGAACAAGCAATCGATGAAGTGGCACTGGATCCCAATGAACCAGAGCGGACCGTCCGGATTGGGGCGTCGCTCGACCCAGGTATAAGAACTCAACTTATTGAATTTCTTAAAGCTAACAAAGACTGCTTTACTTGGTCGCATGAACATATGACAGGCATTAGTCCCAACGTGATTACTCACAAGTTGAACGTCGACCCCAATCATAAACCAATCAAGCAGAAGCAACGTAAGTTTGCGCCAGAACGAAATCAAGTGATCAACGACGAGGTCCAAAAGCTAATCGAAACAGGGAAGATAAGAGAAGTCAGATACCCCGACTGGTTAGCAAACGTCGTGGTAGTCAGCAAGAAGAACGGGAAGTGGAGAGTCTGCATAGACTTCACTAATCTGAACAAAGCATGTCCCAAGGACCCATTTCCTCTGCCGCACATCGACGAAATGTCGACGCAACCGCCGGTCACGAGCTGCTCACATTCATGGACGCATATTCAGGGTACAACCAGATATTGATGCATCCAGACGACCAAGAGAAGACAACCTTCATGACGGACAAAGGGATCTATTGTTACAAAGTTATGTCGTTTGGACTAAAGAACGCGGGAGCAACATATCAAAGGCTCGTTAACAAGATGTTCGAAGAGCGACTAGGGGACACAATGGAAGTATACATCGACGACATGTTAGTCAAGTCCAAAAAAGCAGAAGATCATGTCGGCCACCTCAAGCAATCCTTCGACGTTCTAAGACAATATGGTATGAAACTAAATCCCACTAAATGTTCTTTTGGAGTGTCCGCAGGAAAATTCTTGGGATACATCATGACTCAAAGAGGGATTGAAGCAAGTCCCGATCAAATCAAGGCAATCATCAACATCCAATCCCCCAGAAACATCAAGGAAGTACAGAAGCTGACAGGACGCGTCGCGGCACTCAATAGGTTCATAAGCAAGTCGTTCGACAAATGTTGCCCGTTCTACGATGTCCTATGGAAGAACAATGATGTCCTATGGACGGAGAAGCACGAGAAAGCCCTGCAAGATCTCAAGAAATACATGGCATCACCTCCTCTACTGTCCAAGGCAAAAGAGCACGAGACGCTGCAATTGTACTTGGTTGTCAGCGCGACGTCCGTTAGCGCAGTCTTGGCAAGGGAAGACGACCACCAACAACTACATGTATACTACGTTAGTAAGTCTCTGCTCGACGTAGAGACCAGGTAGTCCGCCCTTGAAAAATTAGTACTTGCTCTAACGACTGCTGTTAAAAAGTTGTGACACTATTTCGAAACCCACCTAGTGGTGGTACGCACTAATTTTCCTTTTAAGTCTGTATTACGCAACCCGGATTTGACAGGTAGGTTAGGCAAGTGGAGCGTCGCTCTTAGCGGGTACGACATTAAGTACCAACCAAGAACGACCATAAAGTTCCAAGCCCTTGTAGATTTTGTGGCGGATTTCAGCCCAGAACTGGAAACCCTAGCAGCCCAAGAACTCAAAGAAATCAACAGTGCCCAAAAAGAAGCAATCTGGATAATGTTCTGCGATGGCTCGTCAAATCAGAGAGGCGCCAGGCTAGGCGTCGTGCTAAAATCACCACAAGGGGACATGATCGTACAATCCATCAGCTGCGACTTCAAAGCGACAAACAATGAAGCAGAGTACGAAGCTCTAATTGCAGGCATGACCGTCGCACTAGACTTAAAAGCAACATTCCTAAACGTTTACAATGACTCGCTACTGATCGTCAGCCAACTAAACGGGGAATTTGCAGCCAAAGATTCAAAAATGATGGCTTACCTAGAGGCCGCCAAGAGAAAAGCTAAGCAGTTCAACCCGTTCACAATCAAGCAAGTTCCAAGGGACAAGAACACCCAAGATGACGCCCTAGCCAATTTGGGTTCAGCACTTAGGAAGTCACCCTTCAGTACCATCCCTCTGGTCCACCTTTAGAAGCCCTCAGTCGACACATCCCAAATACCAGATGTAATGGAAATAGACCCAACTCCAAATTGGACGACACCAATCATCCAAACCTGAAGGACGATGTTCTGCCAAACGATCCACTAGAAGCAAGAAAATTCAGGTACAAAGCCTCTAGATATACCATCAAGCATGATGTATTGTTCAAAATATCGTCTACAGGTCTTTGGCAAAGATGTCTCGTCGGCAATGAACAACAAGAAGTCTTGCAGGAGAAACACGACGGAGAGTGCGACAACCATTCTGGAGGTCGCAGTCTAGCAAAAAAAGTTTTGCGATTGGGCTACTTTTGGCCAACTCTGAAGAAAGACGCCGAAACATACGTAGCAAAGTGCGACAGCTGCCAAAGATTTACAGGGTTAATGCACAAGCCACCTGAGATGCTCCATCCCACGCTGTGTCCATGGCCCTTCATGAAATGGGGGATGGACATAGTAGGGAAGCTTCCGGTCGCCCCAGGACAGAAAGTATTCATGCTTGCACTGACGAACTACTTCTCAAAGTGGATTGAGGTAGACTCATTCACTCAGGTACGTGACAAAGAAGTCACTTCATTTATATGGAATAACATCATCTGCAGGTTTGACATCCCCTCAGAAATTGTGTGTGACAACGGGTCGCAATTCATAAGTGACAAGACTAGAAGATTCTGCGACAAGTGGAACATCAAGCTTTGCACGTCAACACCTAGGTACCCACAAGCCAATGGCTAAGCTGAATCAAGCAATAAGACGATTATTCAATCACTCAAGAAATGACTTAAGAAGGCCAAGGGAAAGTGGGCAGAAGAACTCCCGTCAGTCCTTTGGGCGAACAGGACGACTCCAAGGACGACTCCAAGGACGTCAACAGGGCAAACACCATTCTCACTTGTCTATGGGTGCGAAGCAGTCTTGCCATCTGAGGTACGGATCCCAACCGCAAGGTATGGTCTCATGACAAGCGAACAAAACAACATAGAGAAGTCATCCTACCTTGACACATCAGAAGAACTAAGAGTAGCAGCCTATCTAAGGATGGCAGCACAACAACAAATCGTCGCATGAAGCTTCAACAAGAACTTCAAAGCCAAAATGTTCAGGATTGGAGACTGGGTGCTAAGGAAAGTCTTCCAAAACACCAAGGATCCAGCAGACGGAAAACTAGGCCCGACATGGGAAGGACCGTACCAGATCCTCGACGTCGCAGGCAAAGGAGCATACAGACTCATGACTAAGGAAGGTAAGGTCGTTCCTCGAAGCTGGAATGCGACACATCATAAACTTTACCACTCTTAGGTAAAGACGAAGGTACTCAAACGCCTGATCTTAAGTCTTAAATCCATTCGCTTTTTACTTTTGATTTTTAGATTAAGTGTTCTGACTTAGGCATCGGAGGGCCGTTGGCAAAAACGCCAACGGCCAGCCCTAACGCATGTTTTGCAGAATTAACGCAAGGGCATTAAGACGCCAGTTCTGGGATAAGACGCGACAGAGAGGTCAGTCAAAGCCTAGAAGTTGGACGAGACACGACAAGAAGTCAGTCACGACCCAAGATAGCAAGACGCATTCCCCTCAACTCCATAGTAGTGTTGAAACCAGAGATTTGCATGTCCTTCTCCTCGACTTGCTTCTTCAACTTCTTCACCTCGTCTTCAGCAGCACGCTTCGCATTGCTTAAAGTCCCAACCGAGGCTTGAAGAGAATTCAATTCCTTTTCATTGGAAAAAAAAAGACCTTGAGTGGCGAGCGAATTCTGCAGAGACTGTGAAAGAAAGAAGGGTGTCAAAGCAAAGAGCAACCTAAGAAAGAACAAGACATGATTTGTTTGGAGGGGAGAAACGTATTGCTTAAAGTCCCAACCGAGGCTCGAAGAGACACCGCTTCACTAACGATTTGGGCAGGAGACATCTTCTCTAGACGCCTCTCAGCGCCAGGAAACAACAACTTCTCTGCTGCCGGCCAAAGTGACGTCGACATAGATGGACCAGCAAGAAAGTCAGAAGGGACGCGCACTACGTAATCGACGTCCTTTGGGGCTTTAGGAATCGCTTTAGCGCGAGGACTCTACATTGTTTGGAGGGGAGAAACGTCCAGTACCACGTCCTCAGAAGTGATTAAAGACTGCTTTCTTTTCTTTCTCCCAGCGCGTTCCAACATTTCCTCATAAGACATCTTCGATTTCCCAGATTGAGATTCTAAAGCAAAAAAAAATTAAACATTCCAGCTTGAAAGCACTAACGCAGAAGCAAAGTATCAGAGTAAGTGCGTTCTTACCAGCAGCCATTTTTTCTCCTTCACTGGCTTGTTCGGTGTTCCCTGTCGCGCTAGCAAGACGCTCGAATGTCCGTTTCCCAATTGGGATGCTCAGAACAACCTCGACCTTCTTCAAACTACTCCTCCCTGGTGAGACCGCAACAACGTCGATATCTGCAACAATGTAAGTCATAAGAACCACGTCAAAACAAATTTAACCGTTAAGCGACAAAAGATATAAGAAATACCTCCGTCGCGCCAACCACAACGAATCCAACTAGCTTATATACCCAAAGACTCCCTATCAACAAAAAATAGCGTTACTTCCAACCACGATCATTCACCCCTGCTCGTTCAACCAGAACAGGATGCCCTCTTCTCAAAACTAAGGTACATCTATTCTTGTTAGAAAAAGTTAGTTTGTACGCATAAACCAAGTCAGACAGGTTAAAAGGGTCCTCCCAGTCTTCCGGCCTTTCATCTTCGGTCGGAACTTGGATTAGAGCGCATTCGAGGAGCCCAGCTAATGCCATAAAAGCCAGAACGTCACCCTCACCAAGATCGCAAGGAGGATCTTCATTATCAGCCATGTCTCCGACAATCTTACTTTCACCCCTCTCTAAAACCCTAAGTGAAAATCTAGTCCTTTGAGGTAAAATTGACTTCCTAGTCATACGATAACTACACAATCGAAAAGTATCAAAGATCGAAGTTAAGAAAGTTACCTGAAAAAGTAGCCAAACTTCGAGCAAGTCGCCGGAAAAATGCAAAGTTAACAACGTAAAATCAAAAAAGCAATTTGGGAATTTTTAGAGAGAGAAAGAAGAAGTGAAGGAAGTGTGTAGAAGTGGAAGAGGCACTGTTATTTATGCATCAATTAAGTGGGGAAGTTATTACAGTTTTGAAATATAGTGGGTTAGTGGGAAGTTAATTGTTCCCCTGATCTACCCACAATCAGCCCAACAATCGGGGGCAAATTGTTATGGGTAATTTTTAGGCTCGTTTCGACGCACGTCAAGTCGCACGTCAGAGGGAACGCCAAGCAGCGAAGATAACATAATTCCCTTGAAAGGCGGATTAACCAAGTCCTTAGTGTATATTCGTTCGACAGTTTTATCCCCCAAAAATCAAAGATCTTCTCCTTTAAATATTCGTCGCCAACAAAGAGATAAGCTAAAGACCAAGTCAAGAAACGACTTCCTACTTTCAAGGGAGACGTTGGACGACTCCAACGGCTCTATGAACAGCGTAGTTAACCTAGTTAGCTCTATTATAAATAGGGGAGTAATTGTATCTCTTAGGATCATCTCATACACAGCTCTCTAGAATTTAATTAAAATATAACATTCTCGCAATCATTTTAATCACCAGTTTCTCATAGTGAATAGGTGGTCTTGCACTCACCAGCAGTTTTTCCCGTGTTTGGGTTTTCTGCGTCATCAAATACTTTGTCTTTTACAGCTTTCTTTTACACTTTACGAAGTTCAATACTCTAGCCGTCGTACGTCCCAGCCTTAGGTCGCCCTTAGGCGAAATTTGGCATAAACATTTGCCTTCTTTTGCTCAACACCAAGTTTTGTAGGTGTTTGTTGTAATTATTGACTTGACTCTAGCCTTTTAAATATATTCTACTTTTAGTGTGCTGTTAAAAAAAAAATAAAAATCTTTGGAGGTAAAGTTAAAATTTTAGAAAGTGTATACAATTATAGATTGACTTTGAATATATTCTACTTATAGCATTGACTTTAAATAAATGAAATAGGGTTCTTTGTATGATAAGACATAAGTCAAATAATAGTGTTACGGTGAGTGTGCTTTATGTTAATTAATTTGTCCTATTCAAGTAATTGTAATACTAATTTAACAATGAGTATATATATTTTCCATTCAAAATTATATGTTTAGCAATTAGCATTGCACTTTTCTAGTGATCACGTAGAGTTTTTATCACCAAACTTTCATATGAATTCATTTTTTTCTAACTGTAATAAATGGTAATTTAATATTATTTCTTTTGTCAATGTAGTTTTGTTAAGTATTAATATGTATTATACAATGAATATGAGATGCCCCAAACATAGCATAAATCTAAATAAAGTAAATTAACAATGTTCCATTGATCATATGATATTATTAGATCTACTAATAGCAACCACCAAAACTTAAATCCATTGTAATCCACTTGTTGTCCTAAAGTTAATCAACCCCAAAATAACCAAACGAAGATAAAGGATTCAAAACACTTTTTTTTTTTTTTTTTTTTTTTTGAAACAAACTTTTTAAACTTAGAAAATAACCACAAAATTCTAATCTTGACTATAAATGCGCTACATCATTCTTTTTTTCTTATTTAGCATTTTACCACTATTTAAACACTTCTTCCCCAACAATCTTACATAGCATTATAGAGCCTTCTGGGGGCTTGTACAATTACAATAATTAAATAAAAATAGGGACTTAAGCCCCAAACAGCTCTACCAATCCCAAAAAAAAAAAAAAAAAAAAAAAATAGAAAATTTAAAAATAATAATCCCACCACATTTTTCTTACCTTTAAAACAAAAACCAAAAAAAAAAAAATTACAAAATGGGAAAGAGTCCTATTGTTATTGCTATATCGGCCATATGTGTGGTGGCATGTGTCGCGGCTGTTACACTTGGTGTTTCGAAGTATGGTCACAATGGTAATGACGGACCCAAAGGTGGCGGAGATGACCATAAGATTGCCTCAGGTACGAAAGCAATCCAAAGCATATGCCAACCCACGCGGTACAAGCAAGCTTGTGAAACAACCCTGAGTAATTCGGCTGGAAACACTACCGACCCTAAGGAGTTGGTGAAGGCGGCATTTAGGGTGGCAAAAGACGAGATAACAAAAGCATTGGAAAAATCCAACACGATTAAGGCTGCTAAAGATGATCCTCGTGCAGCTGAAGGCTTGGAGATATGCAAGGAAGTGGTTGGCTATGCCGTAAATGACCTTGAGAGGACAGTGGATTCTGTGGGCGCCTTTACCATGGATAATGTTGATGACTTCCTTGAAGATTTAAGGGTTTGGATTGGTGGTGCCATTACTTATCAAGAGGTTTGTTTCGAGGCGTTTGAGAATTCTACTAGTGATGCAGGGACTAAGATGCGTAGCTTCTTTAATGTGTCGCGTGAACTTAGCAGCAATGCCTTGAACATCATCACTGAGGCCAAATCTATGCTTCAATACCTTGACATCCCAGGGCTTGACCTTAGTGCCCTTGGTAGTGGTGCTGGTTCTTCAGCTCACCGTCGTCTTCTTCACAAGGCAGGTACGGGAGTGTGGGTTGCTGGTGAGATGCCTCCCTGGGTCAATGACCCTAAACACAAAATTATGAACGTCCCCGTCTCTCAGATTAAGCCTGATGCTATTGTCGCTCAAGATGGTTCTGGCCAATACAAGACCATTGGTGAGGCCGTAGGAAAGGTGCCCCTAAAGAACGAAATCCCCTTCATTATCTACATTAAGGCTGGTACATACAAGGAGACCGTCCTCATCGAAAAGAAGCATACTAATGTCATTCTAGTTGGTGATGGACCTACTAAGACTATCATCACTGGTAGCAAGAACTTTGCTGATGGTATTCAAACTTTTAAGACTTCAACTGTTGGTAAGTACTTATATGTAATTTAAAGGTGCAATTTTCTCACTTATAAAATATACTTGATATATCTCAAAAATATATTATATGCTAATTATTTTCTACAATGACAAATAAAATGCAACTCTATACAGGTGCTGTTGGAGATGGATTCATGGCAAGGGACATTGGATTCGAGAACACTGCAGGACCACAAGGCCACCAAGCAGTTGCCTTAAGGGTGGTGAGTGATTTCGCCGTCATATACAACTGCCACATTAGTGGACACCAAGACACATTGTATGCAGTAAGAGGTCGTCAATTCTACAGAGACTGTACCATCTCAGGCACAATCGATTTCATCTTTGGTGATGCACAAGCTGTGTTCCAAAACTGCAAGTTGCTAGTAAGAAAGCCAGGACCCAACCAACAATGTATGGTAACAGCCCAAGGTAGGACCGAGGAGAAAGGACCAGGTGGGTTCGTGATGGAAGGTTGTACCATCTCTGGTGAGCCTGACTACAAGGCCGTAAAGGCTCAGTTCCCAGCCTACTTGGGACGACCATGGAAAGAATACTCTAGAACCATCTTCATGTACTCGAACATTGATGACTGTATCGCTCCTCAAGGATGGACTGAATGGAGAGGAACCTTCGCCCTTGACACATTGTTCTACGCCGAGTACCAAAACAAAGGTACAGGTGCTGATACATCTAAGAGAGTTAAATGGGCAGGACTCAAGACTTTGAGCGCTCAACAAGCTGATGGTTTCACTCCTGCTAAGTTGTTCGTTAGCGGCGACAAATGGATCCCTCAGACTGGTGTACCATATGCTGCTGGAATGTTTTCTGCAAGCTAAGCGATTAATTAATTAGAGGTTAAAAGAGGGAAACAAAAAAATTTAAAATAATTATGTGGAAAGACGAGAGATTGTTTGTAACTTTACAGAAAATAGTAGAAAAAATGATTTCTGATGAATCACAAATGAAATTCGTTGTAGTGTATTTTGTTTTGCATAACATATAATCAACATATTTATCATGGTATGTTCATTCTATTTATATTTATTTTTATTAAACCTTATATGGTTTGGAATGAAATCAATATAGAGCCTTTGATTTCAAAGGTAGAGTGAAGAATACTTTTACTTCTTTTTTAGGACATTTTAACATGAAAATTTGTTTTTTCCTATCTCTTAATTGAATTATTTTAGCTGGGTTAATTGAATTTGATTTATCTACATAAGTTTCTTATTATAAACAATGTTTCATCAATATATTTTTCTTTTTCATAAAAATTTATTGATTAAACTAACCCGGTTTTCTCTCTTAGGAACGAATTTGATTGGGTCTTTCATGTATAAACTTATAATCAAGATGTAGTGAGAACCACATCCTGAAATGAGAACTAAAAACCAATTTCCGTTGTTAGATCAATGTTATCCAATACAGAAGTTTATTTACGTGTCATTAATGGTACTTACGTAATTTAGCAACTTCTCAAACTTCCTGATTGCTTTACTTTAAACCATTTTTATTAGTTTTTAAATCAATTTGATTAGCATTTTGTTTACTTTTTCAAATCAAATGAATGAAAAATTTTCTACAACTGTTTTACATTAAAAGGATTTAATAGTTTATATTTCAAGGAACAATTTGAAAATTATTATTGATGATGTGTTTTTCTCAACAAAAAAACTACGAAAAATCATGTCAGTTTGTTGGTAAATACATCTACTTCCTCCAATGCGTTTCTATTTAATCTATATTAGCTTTTAAATCAATTTGATTTACATTTTGTGGTTTATTCTTTACTTTTTTCAAATCAAATAAATAATGGATGAAAACTTTTCTGGTCTATATGATTGTTTAAGTCAAAGGGATTTTAAATTTGATAATCAATGAAATAATTTGAAAATTATTATTATTATTATTATTATTAGGAAAAATTGCCAAAAATAATATAACCTTTAGGCCGTTCTTTTTAAATAATAAAATAATACAATCTTTTGATTATACCTCAATATTACAACCTTTGGGGGGGCTTCAATTTTAAACAGGTTAAAAAACTTGTAACTTGTGTAGCAGGTCACCCGTGACACGTGGCATCATATGATTGGTTTAAATTATTTAATTTTATTATTTTTTTTTTCTAAAAAGTTTGAATAAAAAAAATAAATTTAATCCCCCTCCCCTGCCAATCGTTCTCCTCCCTCGCCAGCACCGATCAGCCCACCTCCCCCACCTTGGCCCTTCTTACTCGCCAACCATGACCGTCGACCACCCTCAATCCCATCTCCCCCACCACCGGCCACCAATCCTACATTCCTACTACTAATAGTCTGCTATTCTCGACCCCCACCTCGATCTGTTTTGAGGGGTTAATGATAATGGTGGAAGCTGATTTGGGTTCGCGGAGGGGTAGAGGGGTCGAGGCTTGTGAATGCTGGAGTGGGCAAGTAACGACAGGAGGTGGCTGAGAAGAGGAGGGACGGACGGACGGTATACGGG